GGTAATGGGGAGCCATATATAAAACTCTGGAAGAAAAAAACTGCCACCCAAGAATCCTCTACCCAGCAAAGCTGTCAATCAAATACGATGGTATAATCAAAACATTCCAGGATAAGCAGAAGCTAAGGGATTTTGCCAAAGCCAACCCTGCTCTGATAAACATCCTAAAGGAAGTTCTGTGGACTGAGAACCAACAAGAACACATAACAACTACAGAATGATGTGCTTGGCAGCATCAACCTGAACTCAGTCGACAAATGGAAGAGTCAAAAACAGAATAAAATTATAAGAACAGAGGATCTGGGTGGTCAGTCTATGATCAAAACAATTACAATGTATAAAAAGGTAAACACAGAGGAACAGAGATCCAGGTGGTGGGAAGGTCAGGTAGATTACTGGATAAAATAGACTGTCTTAAATGGAGGGAAAAACTTATGGATATATCAGGTAACCACAATGGGGTTGGGGTGGGGTGTTTACTTTGGGTTTGGGGGAGGGCAATACAGGAAATGGGAAGGAAGCAGAAAAACAAGATAGATAGGGGAACACTGAGACAGGTTTGCATGGCCTAATGGGACAGAGGTAAATAGTGATGCATACTCAACCTCGGAACAAAAGGACTCTGGGATAGAGGGATCTAGGTATAGCTTATATAGGGTAAATAATGCTAAAATCCTTGACTGCCTTATGAATATTAATTTCCCTTGCCTACTATTGTAAAATAAACACTTGAGTGGGGTAGAAAGGAATGTTGGAAAACATGATTAGAGAAAACTTGTAAGCCAACCTTTAGCCTATAACTGATTGAAATACCTAAAAGGGGTTCTACAACTTGCCCAGTGAAATAGGCCTCATGTAAAGCCTATACAAAGTATAGAATCCTGAGTCCCATCCACAGCCTTGTGAGGTGAGACATTCCCACTAGAAAGGACAAGCAGACTGGAGCAGCTACAGTGACAGAAGATACGTCTTCATGATGAACCTGACCTATACTCAGAGCAGTAGTTACTCTAAATACCAACAGATAGGGAAAGAGTCTTCAAATCAAGTATCAATGCTATCTGCTCTGTACACAGGGTAGATAGAAATGGGCAACTTAGACACTGGCTACCTAAAATGAGGGGGCAATAAAGGTACAAAGAGACTGGCTTACAAGGTTTCAAGAGGGAGTTTAGTTTCAAAGTATTGGGGGAAAGAAAGAGTCCCACTGAATAGTTGTCATCTTGTCTAGATGGGTCTGGTGAAAAGAGACGGGGATAAGATACTTAAGATTCAATAGTGAATAACTTATCATGACTAATTGCGACGGTCACAATTGTAAAGGTAGAAGTTTTGTAACAAAAAAAGGGGAGTGGTTAATCTTACAGTCCAGAAACAGAGGACCCTAGGACCATCAAGAGAGGAATGCACAAGCAGAATGTGGGACTTATCCAGAGAAGCAACAGTTCCAGAGATTGAGACAAAGATGGGGGCATGGAGAGGGGTGTGGCTGAGGACTCTATATTCATGGACTAAGAAGAGAAGGACTAAGAGCTGGTGGCCAAGAGTCAGACTTGCAGAATATGCCCTTTGCAGATGTAAATTATTGTATATGCCTCAGTGGGTTTTTTTGTTTGTTTTTTAGAAAGCTAAAGTGGATAGAGAGAAATACTGTTAACTGATGGTGCATGGAGGGGATTATAATCAATGTAATGAAAAAAGGTATATGATTTGTTGAATGTAAAATTGATGATATGACCTGTAAACTTTCACTCAATCCACAATAAAAATCTTTAATAAAAAAAAGAGAGCCAAGCATCTCAACCCTTTTGCCCACTACAACAATGTCTCAATACCTGTATCCCAGAGCACTGTTATTCCAATGTTGTGCATACATCTTTATTTACCTCTGTCCCACTTGGGCCATGCAAAAAGTTGTAATTGTTTTCCCATCTGCCTTGTTCTTCCATCCCCCTCCCCTTTCTTGTGTATTGCCCACCTCCCTAACACCTAAACTATCCTGTGTCTATTCCCTACCCTGTGCTCCACCTTCCCCTTCTCACCCCATCCCCCACATCTCAGTAACCAGCAAAGAACCCCTCCCTCCCCCCCCCGCCCCCGCTTTAGTATGGGTTCTTTTTCTTAGTCTTTTACAGTAATGGTCCTATGCAGTATTTCTCTTTTGTGACTGACTAATTTCACTCAACGTAATATCCTCAAGTTTCATCCATGTTATGTGATAGCTTACAGTTTCCTTGTTGTTCTTCAAGGTAGCATAATCCATTGTGTGTATGTACCACAGTTTGTTTATCCATTCTTCCATTGATGGGCACTTAGGCTGTATCCATCTTTTTGGTATTGTATATAGTGTTGCTATGAACACTGGTGTGCATACTTGTCTTATAGCTCGTATTTGTTGTGGCTAAATATCAAATAGAGGAATTGCTGGATCATAAGTTATTTCTATTTCCAAGCTACTGAGGAAGCACCATATTGCTTTCCAGAGAGGTTAGACCATTTTGCAATCCCACATGCAATGCAGGAGTGTCCTAGTCTCTCCACACCATCACCAGCATTTATTGTCCTCTACTTGTTTGATCTTTGCTGTTACTACTGTTGTGACATGATATCTCATCGTTGTTTTGATTTGCATCTCTCTAAAGGGGCTCTGGTGTGGCGCTGTGGGCTAGTGCATCAGACTGCAAGTTGTTTGAACTGTAAGGTCAGTGGCTCAAGCTCACCAGCTACTCCTTGGAAACCCTATAGAGGGTCGCTATGGGTCAGAATCGACTCTATAGCAATCAACAACAACATTGGAGCTCTGGTAGTGTAGTGGTTACGAATCAGGCTGCAAATTGCAAGGTCAGCAGTTTGAAACTACCAGCTATTCCACGGGAGAAAGATGAGACTTTATGCTCCCGAAAAGATTTACAGCCTTGGATACCTGTACAAGTTCTCTGAGTTGGAACCGACTCCATGGCACACAACAACAACAACAACAACAACAATTGTTAATGATTGTGAACATTTCTTCATATGTTTGTTGGCTGTCTGGATCTCTTCCTTGGTAAAGTGTCTGTTCATGTCCCTTTTTTTAATTGGGTTATTTGTCTTTTTCTTGTACAGGTACTGCAGTTTCCTATATATATTTTAAATGTGTCCCTTGTCTGATGTGTCATTGCAAAATATTTTTTTGCGTTCTCTGGGTTCCTTTTTTACTCTTCTGGTGAAGTCTTTTGATGCACATGAATTTTTAATTTTTAGTATGTCCCAGTCATCTACTTTGTCTAATTTTGTTTGTGTAGTTTTCAAAATGTTTGGTAGTCTGTATATACCCTGAATGAGTGTTCTCACATTTGTCCCTATTTTTTATTGATGGTCTTCATAATTCTGGGATTCACATTTAGATCTCTAATCCATGCTCAATTGGTTTTTGTATAAAGCTTGAGGGAAAGGTCTTGTTTTAGTCTTTTGCATATCGCTTTCCAGTTCTGCCAGCACCATCTGTTGAGGAGACTATCATCTTCCCATGCAATATATTTAGGTACTTTTTTGAAAATTAGTTGGCTGCATGTGGATGGGTTAATTTCTGGATTCTCGATTCTGTTGCACTGATCAATGTATTTTTCATTATACCAGTTCCAAGCTGTTTTGACGACTGTAGGCTTGTAGTAAATTTTGAAGTCGGGGAGTGAGAGGTTTCCAACATCATTCTTCTTCTTAAGCATTCTTTGCTTATCCTGGGTCTCTTTCCTTTCCATATGAAGTTTTCACTTTTTTTCACAGAATACAACCCCCCTGAATATAATGTAATTTTATTCTCACAATAACCTTGTTAGGTATATATTGTAGACACTGTTATCTCTATCATACAGATTTAGAAACTGAGATTCAGAGAGTTAAATGGCTTGCCTAAATGGCACTTCAGGATCTGATTCCAAATGTAGTGCTTCGCTTCATCTAATTCTGATCCCTGAGGTCAGAAGTGGATTTAGAATCGTGTGTAACATTTCATTCTTAATGAAATTAGTTTCATCTATCTAGAAATCTTAATTTCTCTGTTATAACTTATACTTATGCAAAAAATTAAGACTTTATTATGCATATTTACCTAGGTTTATCCTCCCAATGATTTTAACAGAAGCAGATTTTTAAAATATTCATTATTGAAAGAAATGTTGAATGGTAAATTATCATTTCATTCTAGGTTCTGTTTACTGAGGAAGACGTGAAATTCTACCTTGCAGAACTGGCCCTAGCTTTGGATTATCTGCACCAATTAGGAATTGTATATAGAGACCTGAAGCCAGAAAAGTAAAGCTATATTCTCCTTATTTATCCCTGTTGTCTGTACTTCTACAACTTCTTTTGGCATTCTCTGTTAAGTTGTTTATTTTTCAGAGACTATATAATATATAAAAACTATATAATTATGTGAAACTTATGCATACAAAGTAATCTTCATAATATGTCCATTGGTTATAAATTAATTGAAAAAATTCCTGATAATGTCAAATAAATATTGAGGTTTGTGATTTTTTTTAATGTAAATGTTTCATATAAACTGTTATATTCCATTTTGTTGAATGTGAATTTTGATTTACAGCATTTTGCTTGATGAATTAGGACATATCAAGTTAACAGGTATGTACTTTTTTTTTTTTTTAATCATACCTTAACCCCTTACTTTTATATTTTTCCTCATTTTAATATATTTACCAATGCTTGTTTTCTTTCATCCTCTTTCTTGGTTTTGATTTGCATTTTATTAATTTGTTAGTAAACTGAAGTTCACTTAAAGTTAGGTAAGGAAAATCTCAATATGTTCTAATGGTCACTTTAAAAAGTATCATCACTATTCTAATTCAGGAATGACATTTGGTTTTCTAGATGAAATAAATCTTCTTAAATTCTTTCTAGATTGAGTTCTTAGAAGTACTATAATATTCAAAATATAATGAATAGTCAACTTTGAACCATGTGTTTCACATTCAGAACCTTAGTTTGCTTTTTATTTTTAAATACATTTTTTATTTATAGAGGATTTGCTATGTATTGTTGGTGTTGTTAAGTGCTGTTAATTCAGTTATATATAGGGTTTCTGAGGCTCTAGATCTTGGCAGAAGCAGAAAAACCTCATCTTTCTCCCATGAAGCAGCTGATGGGCTTGGACTGCCAATCTTGTTGTTCACAGTCCAGTGCCTATTCTACAGCACCACTGTACTCCTTTACTAGGTATGTTTTTGTTGTTGTTATGTGCTGTCGATTCAGTTCCAACCCATAGGAACCGTGTATAGGGTTTCTGAGGAGCAGCTTGTGGGTTTAAACCACTGACCTTGCAGTTCAGTGCATTACAGCATTCTTAGGCATAAATTATCTTTATACCATTAAAAAGAAAACAACTCTTGATTTTAGGATAATTATAATCTCACAAGTAGTTGAAAAAATAATACAGAGGGGTCCTATGTACATGCTACCAACTGAAGACATTTTACAAAACTGCAGTGTGTATTTTCAAGCAAGGAATTAATTGGTATAATACAAATAACTGGACTATAAACTTGGAATTCACCAATTTTTATATACTCTTTTTTCTAAGTATTTGTGTATAATTATATATCATTTTAGTAGTTAAATAGATTCAAATATCATAACCACAGAACTGTTCTGCAACTACAAATGTAGTCTTTTGTGCTGCCCTTTAATAGATAGTCACATTCTCTCTCCCTTCCTCTAACTCTTTCCAACCATGTATCTGTTACACTTATCTGTGGTAACTGTCATACACTGTGTTTTTATCTTGGAGAAATAAAAACTTATATTCAAACCAAAACCTGTATATGAATGTTCATAACAACTTTATTTATAATGCCCCAAGGCAGGAAATCCACCAAATGTCTTTCCAAAGGTTTATGGTTAAGCAAATCATAGTATATCCATTTGATGAGATATTACTCAACCATGAAAAGGAATGAACTGTTGATACTTGCAACAACTTTGATGAATCTCAAGGGCATAAGAGAAAATACCAACATCAAAACTCTACATATGTTTTAAATAGATAGTAAATTCTACATTTAATTATCAAAACACTAAAAGAGAACTGAAGTGAAGTTGTGGTCTTTACAAAGAATTATAGATGACTACAGTTTAAATTAAAGTTGCTTTATATACTTAAGTATGCTGATTCAATGTAAAAATAATGTATCAAGCTGCTACCTTGAAAGCTGAGACAAATGTGACAAAATCTAAGGAATCTTATGGATTCATAGCCAAATTCTCTTTTTCATATATAAGAGAAATTATGTGGGTTCAAAGGTATTGGTTGGTTGGTTGGTTGGTTATGTGCCATGGAGTCGGTTCCAACTCATAGGGACCCTATACAGGGTTTCCAAGGCTGTAAATCTTTACGCGAGCAGAAAGCCTCATCTTTCTCCTGTGGAACAGGTGGTAGTTTCGAACTTTTGACCTTGCTGTTTGCAGCCCGATTCGTAACCACTACACTAGAAGAAAAAAAGAAAATATAAAAACAGAATTTTAAGACTATGGAATAATATCTATTTTAAGACTATGGAATAATATCTACTTTTTACAAGGGGGCTTCAAAACATTTATGAAAAATTAGAGTTAAAAGATAATGGAACGGAGGTGGGGATTGATGGTGGCTAGGGTGGAGGTGCAGTGAAATTTGCTGTCAGCAAGACCATAGAATTCCAGGCAAAGCTGATCCAGGGCAGAGCTTCAAAATTAAGTACCACAGAGATAGGAATATTTTGAAGGTTTGAAGGCTTATAGATTGTGGAACTTGAAGGTGAAGTTAAAAATCACGTACTTTTGAATCTACTGGGCTGGGCTTGGAGGCCTGGAGCTGACATATTAGTTGAGACCAAATGGCAAGACCAAACAGAGGAGCAGAAACACCAAGGAAAAACGCTGCGGGAACTTTGGAGCAAACGTGGACAATACACTTTGTCAGTTTTGCTTTGCTCTGATTTTCTTCTTTTTTTTTTTTTTATCTGGTCACTGGTGTACCCACTTTTTGCCAACCTCTATTCTGGTGACTAGAGGGGGAGCCTGATCAAGTGGACACCCCCCACCCTCACCACTGTGGGTTCTTATACCATGCATACACACAGATACTCAGCTCAGGAGCAGGCCCTGAAGGGTTTTTGCTTGTTTGTATTTTCTTTTGTTTTTTAATATGGGAAAGAGCAAGACAGGGCTGTGGATAGAGAAAGAGAGATTAAAAACAAAGAAGGCTGAAAATTAAATTAAAGCCTTAAATCCCTCAGGCAGCTTTAAAAACAAGAAGCTGAAGACAGGACATTAAAGTCATACTCATATTAGGCTACAGATTCTTTTTTATTCTCTTTCTCCCCCGTCTCCCTTTTCCGTGATTGTAGACTGCAATATTCAGTCTAGTTTTTGTTGTTACTGTTTTTTGTTTGTTTGTTTTGTGTGTGTAGTTTTTTGGTTTTTTTTCTCTTGTTTTTTTTTTTTCCCCTTGCTAGTACTTTTTGCTGATATATGCACCTACTTCTACCTTTGGAGGACTCTTTCTCTTCATATATTACACAAGAACAGTCAGCAACTGTTGCCATATAGCAAAGCTACAATCACACTCTATAAAACACCAAAACCCAGGCAAGAACAGATACCAACTGCCATATACCAGGGAAACAGAAACAATTGTGAAAGTTACTCTTAGTTAAGCAATAAGAAGAGTGAAAAGGAAAGCCCACATCCTGAACACATCTCCCAGAAAGCAATCAGAAGGCATAAAAAATACCAAAACACATACTCAATTAAGTATTAAGGCTACAGATAAATACTAAACATGTCCAAGAAGCAAAAACAGATGACCATATCAGCACATGTCCAGAAACAAGATAAAATGTCTGAGAAAAATGACCTAAAGGTAGACATGGACTCCATTCTGGAAGGAGGGCAGGCCTTGGAAATGCCTGAGAAGGAATTCAGAAAAATGATTATAAAATGTTTCAAAACACGTTACAATGGAGTTGAGAAAAATAAGGAAGAAGTCAGGAAAGCACTACAGGAAAAATCAAATAAGATAGATACAGATTGGAAACAATTCAAAGCCTACAGAAAGAGGTCCAAACAATTAATAAGAGAATATCACAAATAGACAGTACTATGAAAGGGCAAAGGAGTAGAATAGATGAGATGGAAGGCAGAACCAGTGAACTGGAAGACAAATCTCTCAGTACCACTACGATAGCAAAACAAACACAAAAAAGGATAAAAAAAAGTCTGAAGAAGGTCTAAGATTCGTGTTGGACAACATGAAGAAGAATACTTTAAGAGGGCAGGCCCTGGAAATGCCTGAGAAAGAATTCAGAAAAATTATTATAAAATGTTTCAAAACACTTTACAATGGAGTTGAGAAAAATAAGGAAGAAGTCAGGAAAGTGCTACAAGAACAATCGAATAAGATAGATACAGCATTGGAAACAATGCAAAGCCTACAGAAAGAGGTACAAACAAAAACAAAATGGCATAAATAGAAAACACTCTGAAAGGGCAGAGGAGTAGAACAGATGAAATGGAAGGAAGAATCAGTGAGCTGGAAGACAAGTCAATGCCAGCAAGATAGAAGAACAAACACAAAAAAAGATAAAAAATTCGGAGGAAGGTCTGAGATTCATGTTGGACAACATGAAGAGGAATAACTTAAGAATTATTGGCATTACAGAGCACGAAGAAACACACAAGTCCACAGAGGAAATAGTTGAAGAGCTACTGGAAGGAAATTTCTCCAAGATACTGAGAGGTGAAAAAATTAACATAGAAGCTGACCCCAAAAGAAAATCACCAAGACATATCATAGTCAAGCTCTCCAAACTTAAAGATAAGGAGACGCTTCTGAAAGCAGCCAGAGAAGGCAGAAGGGTCACATACAAAGGAAAGCAAATCAGATTAAGCTCAGATCTCTCAGCAGGAACCATGCAAGCAAGAAGGCAATGGGGAGACATATATAAAACCCTGCAAGAAAAAAACTGCCAACCAATAATCCTTTATCCAGCAAAGCTATCAATCAAATATGAGGGTGCAATAAAAACATTCCAGGATAAACAAGCTATGGGAATTCACCAAAGCCAATCCTGCACTATAAAACATCATAAAGGGAGTTCTGTGGACTGAGAACCAACAAGAAGAGACAACAACCAGAGATTGACATATGTGGCAGCACCTCCTTGAATTAAGTCAACAGAAAGAAGAATCGGTAACAAAACAAAACTATAAAAACAAACTCAGAGACTCTGGAAGGTCAGTCTATGACCAAAACAAGTACAATGTAAAAGAAGGTAAACATATAGGAAAAGAGATCCAGATAGCCAGAAGGTCAGGTCGATTACAGGATAAAATAGTCTGCAATAAATGGTCAGAAAAGCTAATGGACTATAAGACAACCTCAATGAAAATGAACACTTCACAACTTACCAAGAGAGTGAAAACCAAGGAAGAATATGAAAACATTAAAACTATGAGAAAACTAACAAGAAAGAACACAAAAATCCTGAATTCAACAAAGAAAGACAAACAGTACAAAGAAGCAGCAACACCACACACACAAAAAATGTAATGACAGCAATTAATCAATTCCTATCGATAATTACAAT